TGCATATAAAGCAAAAACGCATACTGCAACGACCCTGCCCGTGTGTGTGTGTGTGTGTGTGTGTGTATAATGTCTGTTTGTGTTTTTGTGTGCTGTTTTAATAATCCAGTTGCAGAGTTGCGCAAGACTAGAATGAAATGTTGGAAAACTCTTAATTCTCGATCAGATATGAAGCCACACTACTAAAATTAGTGAACAAGACTGCCTGAGTGTTGATCTCAGCGGATCCAGGCTGATGCAATTTTTGACTTAGAAGTTTTTACTGATCAAATTATTGTTAAATGGGTATTAACCGAAGGCACGCAAGCGAAGATCGAAGGTCTATCATAGTTACCTTCGGCTTTTAGGAACATCCTAGTAACATAACTAACAGGGGATGCCCAAACTGATAGTTCGAATGGTTTTGTTATTCTTGATATTATTTAATAAGAGTAATAATACACGCTAGAATTAAAATCAGTTTTCATACATGTCTGTATTGCAGCCGCTTTCCTGAGGGCAAAATCTGCCTTTTGATACGGCCCCAAACAGACAGAAGGCCTTCAGCCTGTCTGTAACCGCCACACCGGTCGCAAAGACCTATACCTATGATCATTGTGCACTGGTCATTTAGCGGTGCGTGTTGAATCCATCGAATTTTTCAAACAGTTTCTGTCAACGACGATGGATTTCAGGAATTGGGTTGCGTATCGATGCATTTCTTATCAGCGACGATACACTGACAGACTTGTTTCCGGGCAAAAACTGTGGTGCGGGCTTCAACGGCGCAAGTGCAGTGTGTCCTGATTCGTTCGAACTTCTGGAAAGGCAACATTTTTCCTGTTTCTCTGCAAATGGCCGGCACTTTTTGAAAGGAATGAAAGCGTGGCAGCACAAGACCTATCGTTACCAGCAAAACGAATTCAAGGTCAGGACTGCTGTCCTCTGCCGACAAATCAACTCCCAAACACTGCGTCGATCTTAACGTGAACGATCTGTCTAAATTGTCTGATTACTGAGAAAGGCCTGAATCTCAGGCTGATGGTGCGGTGATGGAAAGATTTCGTGTTTTCATTGAAGCGAAGACCCAGCAGTTATTTTACTGTACCGGGCTATGCATTGCGCGACGGCCGAAATTATTTCTTTTTTCAACGTAAGATTTTTTTATTTCCTTTTTTTTATTATACATAAAAAACGGGCTGTTAAAGATCATGTCCAAGTGTGTTGCACATATGTTTGTCTGAGTATCACTGTGATTGTTCAAACGGTTCGAAAAAGAATTTTAACACAAAAAATTTTAATTCTGGAGGCACAGTCCTTAATGTTTGCGTGGTCAAAATACGGGATCAGTCCGCGTTTTAACCTTTGACCTCAAGATTAAATTCGGTCTTACTTTTATGTGCTTTTTTGCAGCTATGCAATGCGGAAAACGCATATTGACAAGAGGTTGTCTGTGTGTGTGTCTGTGT